GGGATGGGGGAGGGAGGTGGCATTTAAGAGGAGCAAGTTTCTTTCATGAGGATAGTGTGAATATTGCGGCGAGGGGAGGGGGGTTGGTGCAGCGCCAATCAGCTGTTCTAGGCAGTGGGGATCTCCACCGCTCCCACCTGTTCGCCGGCAATCGGTGGTGAATGGGCCATGACGAATGGGCTGCCACTGGGGCAAATGAGCTGTGGTGATCCCCGCCGCCTAGATCGGTGGTATTCTGGGAGGCAAATCCAATCACTAATCAGCTGCTTGGCAGCAAAGGCTCCAGTGTTTCCCAGTGGCGGCAGCAGCTCAGCTCAGTTGACCAGTGATGGGCACAATGGAGCAGAGCCCTGACAAGCCACGTGCTGGGGCTGCGATAACGTGCTGAAGCTGACCAGGCTGTTTGCTGTTTGCTGCAAGGACGCTAGCTAGATGAATACTGGATGGATGCTGGGAGGCAGAGGCAGATTTTTTTTTCTTGTTTTCCTCCTCTAAAGCTAATGAGTGTCTTATAGTCAGAAGCATCTTATAGTCCAAAAAATACGGTATTTCCTTCTAAAATACAGAAGCCGTCGTTATTTATTTTACTGCCTTTTATTGTTTTTACAAATAACTGAGAGTGTGAATATATCAAACACACCTTCCTCCTCCTATTTTCTCCACAACAACAGCCCTGTGAGGAGAATTGGGCTGAGAGAGAGTGACTGGCCCCAGTTGGCTTCAGTGGCTAAGGTGGGACTAGAACTCACAGTGACTTGCCTTCTCGCCTGGTGCCTTAACAACTGGATCAAACCAGCTCTTTTTTTAGTGTGTTCTTTATCCTTATTATGAAACTGGTATTTTAAATATTATGATGTCTCTTCTCATTTGTGCAGAAGCTCAGTTAAAATTTAAATAATGATGCATGTCAGTAATATATTTTGTAGTAGTTCTTGTCTTGATGGTTTTCCATTTTCAATGACTATTTTAATCTTTAAAATCCTTATCCTCTTACCTTAACTTTTTATGTTGTTCCCAATAATTGTAGTACACAGCTCAGCAGAAAAGAGGATTTTCCTTATCATCTCAGAATTTGAATATGTAGTTATGAACTAGTAATTTCAAGTACAACTGGTTTGGGAAATCTGTATCAATTTTTTTTGGGATATTTTTAAGTAACTTTGTGATTTAGGTCTCTGTATCTATAAATATTCTTGAAATGGAGATGAGCAATGGTCTCTAGAATCAGACCCAACTGGACAGGAGAAACCTTTATCTTTACCTTTTTCTTCTTCTATAACTTTACTCTTTCATAACTTTATCTAATCAGAACTATGTTGTTCACTCTTAGGCTTACAGAACACTCCACAATTTAGCAAATACCGAAACAAGATACTTTGCGAAGAAGAAAACTCTTCTTGGATTAAGTAAACTATCTGTGCTAGCTTCCAGTATATCAGATGTGATGCTTAATGAGAAAATTGAAGGTACTTTTTAAACTAAACTTTAAAACTATGCCATGCTTATACACAGAATCCCTCTATTTCTGGTCCTCATTGAAATGGTTCTATTGCCACTATCATCGGTAATGATTCTTTTTTCTTCCATATATGCAAGAAATCATTGAACAAGAATGTTTTTTACTGCATCAAGAAACCCTTCCTGAACAGTTGTTGGCAGAGAAAAAGATGACTCTCAACGAAATGCCGGTTTTAAGTGCCCCACAGCTCATTGAGGTATTTACCATATTTTTAATGAATGGGATTTTTGCATCTATCCAAAGGAAATTCCATTTTTAGAAAGAAAGCAACATTATCCATTGAAAAACAGTTTTGTGTTGAAGCTAGTATGAAACTTGCTCTGAAATTCTGACTTCAAAGCCCGAACAGTAATGTGTCAGTGTCTTACGTACAGTATATGATGAACAGTATCATTGACTTGAATATTGTGCACTTGTTTGGAAATTAGCCATCCCAGGTTGTTACTTACTTTCCTGCAGTTGTACCCGCTTGCCTTGTATCAAAGCAATTCAGCTTAGTATGGTTCGGCTATCTCTCAAATATGAAAACCTCAAATTTTCATTAGTCAGAATGACCCATAAGTTGTGTGGCTGGGGGTACTTTTTAACAAAATGTTCATAAAGCCATCAATGTATGTAGAGTAATAGCCCAAGAGTGTATGAACATTTGAATGTTTCTTTCCCCATCACATGTACTTGCACACAAAAACTTGGTGCTGTCTACATCGTGTTTCAAAATATAAAACCACTTGTGGGTGGATAAATCTTAATTTAGTACTCTCCAGGTTTATCACAAATAATTCTGTATCGCTATTACCTCCACAGTATTATATATAATCTTCAAGTTATCCAAAATTGAAAGTAATTTTATAATTGCAAGTTACTACAAAAGAAAACGTATCAGTATCTTTAAATAATGATTTGAGGATTCAAGTACAGGTAGTCCTCGATTTACAGCCACAATTGAGCCCAAAATTTTTATTGCCAAGTGAGACATTTCTTAAGTGAACTCTACCCCATTTTACGACCTTTCTTGCCACAGTTGTTAAGTGAATCATTGCAGTTGTTAAGGTAATAACAGAATTGTTAAGTGAATCTGACTTCCCCATTGACTTTGCTTGTCAGGCGGTCACCAAAGTTGATCACATGACCCCAGGACACTGCAACCGTCATAAATATGAGTCAGTAGCAAAGTGTCTGAATTTTGATCATGTGACCATAGGGTTGCTGCAACTGTTGGAAATGTGAAAGAAAACAGTCATAAATCACTTTTTCAGTGTTGTTGTAACTTCAAGTGGTCAGTAAATAAACTGTTATAAGTTGAAGACTACCTGTACTGGCAATGTTCCTGAGATAGATAGTTGTGCTTTTCTGTGCTTGTTTCATTCACTTACATGCAAAAATTAATGATTTAATTGACCCTTAGAGTCATGTTAATATGCTATAAGACTCATAACCAGATGGCCAGATTTACCATGGTGAAATAGGCATCCACATGAATTGAATAAGTTATCATTTATCAATCTTACACACAATGGCTATAACATGGAAAGTATATCTAAAAGTTTATGCCGCTCCCTTATTCTCAATGAAATTGAAGCATATTTCTGTGAAAAATAGTTAAAATACAGGGTGATTCCCCTCCACCCGCACCCCTTCATCCCACAGCACGTTCTAATTTTTGTGTTCATTATTTTATACAATAGCTATACATATGTGATGAGAACCGGAAAGCTAATGAGTATGACTTCAAGAAGGCACTGGATCTACTGGAATATATTGATCAGGTATGAAATTTAATTGGAGTTTCAGTTGTATGTTACTGATTTTCAGAGAATGGGTATACATGATTATACAAATTCTTTACGACAGTTGATAGAATACCTCTAAGAGTTCTTCTAAGTACCACTTAATGCAGATAATCATTGTTAGATCCATTTTTAATAATGGAGGACCCAGCTTGGGAAGGTATTGTTATTAGTAGTATTAGTATTATCCACAATTTTATGAATTTTTGTTCCAGCCATTTATTTATTTATTTAAAGTATTTGTGACAGTTCCTCTTTGCAAAATTTCCAAAACGATTTACCAAGTTATTTTTAAAAATGCAAAATAAACTTTTGTAAAATAATGATAATAAAAGTTTAAGAAAGGTTAACATAAAAAATACTGAACACACCAGTTTAGGATATGGCTTATTCCAGAGGGTAGATTATTTCACAGGATTATTGCCATCTCAGTAAAGGTATATTGATGACTATACTGGCTCTAAACATATTGTGTCTATTTGCCTCAGTACATATGCATATTTCATCCACAAAAGCTGGTAAAAAGGTAGAGCTTTGTCCATGAAGGAAAAAAAATAGAGTGCAGTCTTTCCTCTGCATAATGTAAAAGGAACCCTTTTTCACTGCCCAACTCAGGAAGATGACATTATTTTTTCATGTGTTACTTATATTCCACATTTTCTTCACATATTCAGGTTAGTCCTCCTACAATTTTTCTTTACAACAACTTCCTTTGAGATAGATCAAATTGACCCAAGAGTGACCAAATCAAATCACCAATTGAGCTTTTGGAGCTAAGGGTAGACTAGAATCTGGGTGTATTGTGTCCTGATCTAACACTTAACCAGCACATCATGCTCTCTCACTGATGTACAAAAAAAGAGGCTTAATCTCACATGATAAACACATACATACACACTGCTCAAGTAATCAAAGATTGCACTGTACAAACAAGTTCTGTAGAGCCATATGGAAAGCTGGGATGCCCTATCCTGTTTGTATGTGAAAGGATACATTGTAAATGGCTGTTGCTGAATTAACTGTCTGAAGCATGGCAAGGGAACATTCGGATAGTATTGCATTTCACCCACAAGCTAAAGCCAAGAATTTAATCAAGTATGTTCATCTCTGAGAAAAAAAGTCTTTTCTTAAAATCCAACTGTTTTTTACCATTCTGGTTCCTGTAGAACACAGAGAGTAGTTACACGTTGCACAAGTTTCTGTGCTCCCAGTCTCTGGCTAACCTGTCGTTTTATTGTCTACTTGCCAAATTATTCAGATGGATAAAATAGCATTGCCCCTACTTTGATAACACTCATAATGCTATTGTGTAGCTTATCCCTTTGTTTTCTCACATTGCTTCATAATTTCTTAAGCCTACAATTTTCTGAAATATATTCTTTAAAACACATCATTATTTGTTACGTTGTTTGCTAGAATAAGTATTCAACCAAATATGATTATAATGTATAATTTATTTCCTGAAATTTCAAATGCAATTTAACATTATTTCTTTTTTTTTTAATGAAGGCCGAGCAAGTGGACATAAATTATCTTAAACTTAAAATACTTTGTAAAGCTCTCCTGAGAGATGGGTAGGTAAAAGCAGTTTAATTTGTTTAATGTATTTATTTACAACATTTGTATCCATACTTAGGCAAAACAGTTCCTAGAGCAGCTTCCACGAAATCAATAGAAAATGAAATACCATAATCTCTATTTTTTGGTCTTTATTTTCAAAAGATTTAACAAGGGATGGGGGCAATGGAAAAACAGATAGATTTGGATACCAGTTCTTAAAAGTATAATACAAAAGGTTGAATGCAAGCAGTTTCTGAACAGGTAGAGAGAAATTAGGCTAAGTCTTCCAGAAGAATTCATGGATTGGCTCTGCTTTCCATCTCTCCTTCCACTTTTGAGGGCATCTTTGATGTCAATTAATATTTTTTTGGAGTAGCCTTCCAATATCTTCCAATTTCTAATATCAAACTGAATACTTAGGTAGAACATTCCAAAATCAGGGCACCACTGTCAAGAAGAGATTTCCTTTATGGAAACAGCAAGTTGATAGAATAGTAGATGTTCCTTGAGCAAGTGAAAGGCTATGCAAGGATATATGTTTGATAATCCTTAATTAAACTATTGGAAAGGCTGGAATTATCTCATTATAAACTGGGGATTCACTAAAAGTGTACCAGTTTCAGTGAAGATACATCTAGCTTCTCAACTGTTAGCTTTTAACCATTATACCATTGTATTCCTTTTAAACAATCTTTGTACATTCCATTCAGCTAAATGTTTGCTTAAAAAATAGAAATTGCCTTTCTGTTTGAAGGTCTATCATTCCAGATAAGAGAATCTGCTTCCGTCCTCTTTTGAAAGGCTACTCACTTTTCTGAACTACTCATGTTTAGTTTCCAAGTTTTGAAGGAGTAGATGAACAGATGATGAAAAGACTCAGCACTGTGCTTTTGACTGGATAAAAAACAATAACAGTGACTCCCCTCAGAATCTCTTGGGATTGTGTAAAATACCTATTCCAAACAAATATATTGACATAGTTCAATTGGATGTGGTTCAGGAACAATTTGGGGAAGTTGTTTAAAGTAGAATTTATTTTGAATAAATTCATAATTATGTCCAGTCTTAATCTCAAAATGAGTTAGGTATTGATCCTCAATTGGATGCCACCATTTCTGTTTGTCCAGTTGTTGATCAGTTCGTATAAATAACTATACAAAATTATCCTTATTCAGATGTCCTCCTCATTATCAAGGCATTTCTGAATCAGATACCTCAAACTACCTGCCCTATAGGGATGTGCATAATTTTTTTAATGCTACTCTACTCTATAACTATATATGGCAATAGAATTGTTGGGCAGTACCTGAGGCTTGTGGGAAACACACAGTGACTTCCTAACAAGGTAGTGGTTTTTTTGTTCCTCATTCATTCTGTTCACTATTTCACTTTCAAGATAAGTAAATAGCTAGGAAGGAGAGTATTATGGAAGAATGTGTTTCCCTTTGCCCTGGTTTAATGCAGATTAAAGTCAGCCACATTAAACATTATAATAAATGGATTAACAAGAAAAAACTTTTTAAAAAATGCATTAAAAATATATTACTGAAATAGAGGCCTCTTTCTTGCTAAGGACTTTAATTGATTCTGAATTCAAATTTCAGCATTCTCTTCCTTTAGCATCCAGCAAAGCTACCTTCTCAGGGGAAGTCTAGGCAATAGGACCAGTTAAACTGTCAATGACAGAATGTACACTTGGGACATGGACTAAACTTCCTAGTCACAATAGTATAATGCAGCAACACAGACATATTAAATAATTTAGCATTAAAAAGCTGACTATTTCAATTGTAGATCACTGACAATGATGATGAAGAAAAGTGTACTGCTTTTTTTCATGCCAATTCTATATTAGAGAGGCCACCCCTGTTCTAACTCTTCCATCCATATGTTTCACCAAGTCATGTATGCTTTAATTCTAATGAAATATATGGATATGATTTTATATTGCCTAAGTAAATTTTCACCTTGCCTTTCCCTCTACTTTGCTCCAGCATTCTGTACAAATTGGGGGAGGCTACACTAAGGCTAAGAAAACTCTGTTTCCTGATTAATACTTTTCCTCTGGTAGAAGAATCTAGTTGCATAGTTCTGAATCTTTTTTAAACTCTATCTGTAACTTTTTTCCTTTAATTATGAAACTTAATCATTTTATATTTTAATACTACATTGAAAAACAGAAATACTTGCTGAAATCAGAAGAAAATAATAAAGGATGCAAATTAAAATTTGAAATATAAACGTAGGAAAAAGTCAGTGAAATTCAGATTAACACATTGCATGTTATTCATTTTTACAATATATTTGTTTTGGTTCTTTTACATTTTGACATTATAGCTGGTCCAATTCAGAAGGCAAAGATGATCCAATTGAAGCATCTAAAGACAGTATATTTGTGAAAATACTACAAAAGCTGATAAAAGAAGGTATATTTTATTGAAATATATTCAGAAATAATTTGAATCTCCTGCTTAAACATTGTCATGGAAATATTAGTTATACATCAAAGATATATAATATAATATTACAGCCATGAATTTAGTACAGTATGCTGGCCAAATTAAAGGCAGAAGAAATGCAATATACTTTAACATGCAGAGTAACTATAATGTTAGAGGGAAAAATCATTCCTGTTTAATTATGTTATGCTGAAATTAAGTATAAAGTTCCATATTGCCCAAACATCTATAATATCTAACAACTATTTCTATTGTAGGAGTTCAACTTAGCGAATATCTGCCTGATGTGAAAGATTTGATGCAGTCAGATGAACTTGGACATTTAAAGTACAATCCTTACTTTGAATTTGTTCTGAAAGCAAATTATGAATTGCATGTTTTTAGAGATCAGGCATGAGAAAATTTAAATTTTAGTTAAGTGAGCTTTTTTTATATTGTGTATTGTTTTTGCAATAAAGTTTCAATTCTGAACAATAACATGGCTGATTCATAATTATTAAAAACTGAAGCCAAATCAAGGTTATGAAAGAAAGTTGAACAAAACATTAAACATTCTATAAACAGTCTGTTTATAAAAAGTTCTATAAACAATATATTTCTAAACAGTAATCCAGCTTCTTACTTGTGCTGCTGTTTTGTAGTGAATACAATTGTTCATGCAATGTGAGAAATGTTGATTTTTCCTCTTATAATATACACTTATATTCTTAAATATATAAATGACTAAATTCAAGTGCTCACCATGTAATGAAGTTCTATTACAATCTAAGTAATGACACGAAGGCTAGAAAGTAGTTCTGCAAGTGCTTCTCCTGGAAATGTCTCTTCTCTACTTGATGTTAGCTTGGTTTTGGTAGTTTACAATCCACAACACTTTGCCATGCTAATGCATAAAGAACAGATGGACTAAAGTAAATCAACTTAGTTCTTTAATCTGACAAAGATCACGGAATTGTCCCTGCAGCCTGCTCAACATGTACAGAATAATTGCAAAACCAATTTGCATCGTCTTACTTTTTTATGTCTTGGCTAAATGCCTCTAGAATTTGATCCAACAGCTGAGAAGGTCATAAGTTAAATCAGTTGAAGAGCATCCTATGTCCAGTTTTAAAAGTACAGCTACCATTCCATGGCTTCCTTTCTTGCTGTGCTAATAGAGCTCTAAGAATGGAAGAGCTGAATACATATGGAAGAATATACTTATCTCGAAATGTTCAAACCAATGTAGATAATGAACAATGCATTATCCCTACTGGAAGATTGAACAGAATATCTGAAGTATGTTGGGATCTTCAGAATATGTGATTGCAAAAGGAACAGGCAACCTCAAGTTATTAAAGTTAAAAAATTGAAACATAGTAATGAAATAAAGCTGACAAAAGATCACATTTTTATTCTGCTTTCTCAATTAAAAAGCAGTGAAAAATGCACTGGTCTGATTAAAGTCTTCCTAGAGCTTTTCATTTCAATCCAAACTATCATTTGCTTTTAATATATAAAGTGCTACATAATCTGAATTTTCTAGAAATTCTCTCTTGACGTTAACATTTCCCCAAAAGCTAAAACAGCTTTTCTCTTAATTATTCAGAATAAACAACAGGCTCTGAGTACATGAAAATGTGTTATCCGAGTATTTGTTATGAGTTTTTTATGAAAAGACATAGCCCGGGTTTTGGCAGTTTACTAAGAAGCTTATCTCGGTGAGTTCAACAGAATGTATTCTCATGGAAGCATGTAGTGGTATTAATGCAAAATCTGAACTGTGGAAAATTATTTCACTTAATGAGCAGCCACTGGAATGATATAGATACACATATAGGTATAGATATCAACAGCTGGCAATTTCATTCCAAAATAGTGCTATTTTTTTTCTTCCTGAAAAATGGCTGAAAATCATCTGAATCAGATGGTCTTATATTTAAAAAAATACAAATACATTTTGGCTTCAGTAGGTGTATTTGTTTTGTTGGAACCACTGGATTGATTTAATGAAAAACAATGGCTCAATTGAATGCACTCATGGAATATCTTGCAATAATTGCTATGAATTCACTGGAAAGTTGTTACCTCACATGATCATTAGGAAAAACAGGAGTCAGCACCATAAGCATCACATTAAGTTCCTAAATGAAAGGTGGTGTATAAATAAATAAAATATATGCATATTAATTCCTCAACAGTTATTTAAACTTACAAAAAAGGCAGCATTTGTAACAAATCACAGTGTGTTATTAATACTTCTGTCACTATTCAATGTCATGCAATAGGAAAGAGAATTTCTACTATACATTCCAATTAATGAAAACTCTGGGTGGCAAGACTAGTTTCACTACTAATTTAGTAAGCACATCCATTAATTTAAGAGAGAGTGTTTCAGTATCTAAGTGACACTTATAAAACCATAGTATGGTTTTGAATAGAGAAAGGTGTAAAGTTGTTACTTCTGTTGGCAGAAACTTGAGAAACTACAGTAATTTCTCCTACTGGGATGAGCTTTCCACTTACCCTTCTCTAATTGCTTGAACCTGATTGGATTTGTCTCTATTAATACTGGCTAAAACTTTTATGCAGTCATAAATCCTTCAGCCATAATTCCCAACTATGTTTATAGAGCAAATAACTTGCTTACAGTAATCAGGAAAAGGTTACTGTAAAAGTTTATACAAATGACATGGGGGTTTATAAAATAATCTGTAATAAGCATGATACTAACGTCTGCTTAACTTCAGGAAATTATAAAGGTGTCAAGTTACCCTTACGTTAGTTATTAGTTTATTTTATACAATTTACTGTCCACATAGTCTTTAATAAAAATGTAAATTATAAGGTGTAAATTGTCCATCGGTGATAAATTTAATTTTACAGATTAATTTGATATACATTTACTTTTCAGTTTTGCAGTAGTAATAATTTGATATACTTAAAATGCTAGGTTTCACAGGATGCCTTTCAAGAATATGACATTAGGAATTCAAAATTTGGTTTTTCATTCATTAAACTTATTTTAATATGAATGTGATAATTTATTATTGAGAACCAGCTTTCCTTTCACTTTAGCATTCATCTTTGGATGCACGTACCCATTTTAAAAATGTTGAATTGAGATCCTTTGGTTTGCTGATCTTAGAGCAATTAAATAGATAATATGCATTTAATCATCCGTTAGATCATTAGTCTTTTAAATACATTTTAGTTTCGGTTTCTTCAAAGTCCTGTATAAAGGAATTTTATCAACAGTAAGAATTAATCCATTAAATCTAAAAGGGCTTTTGCTCTCCTAAAGTTGCTCCAGAACACAGGAACACAAAAACACAGGACTGTCTACAATGTCTTTGGGCAATTTCCTGGGATTGTATGCAGCTGTTTTAATTTCAAACAGTCACTAAAAAAATAGAACAGAACAGAATAGAATAACAGAGTTGGAAGGGATCTTGGAGGCTTTCTAGTGCAACCCCCTGCTTAGCAGGAAACCTTAGACCATTTCAGACAAATGGTTATCCAATCTCTTCTTAAAAACTTCCAGTGTTGGAGCATTTACAATTTCTGGAGGCAAGTTGTTCCACTGGTTTATTGTTCTCACTGTCAGGGTATTTCTCCTTAGTTCTAGGTTGTTTCTCTCCTTGACTAGTTTCCACCCATTGCTTCTTGTCCTACCCTCAGGTGCTTTGGAGAATAGCTTGACTCCCTCTTCTTTGTGGCAGCCCCTGAGATATTGGAACACTGCTATCATGTCACCCTAGTCCTTCTTTTCACCAAACTAGACATACCCAATTCCAGCAAGCATTCTTTATATTTTAGCCTCCAGTCCCCTAATCATTTTTGTTGCTCTTCTCTGCACTCTTTCTAGAGTCAACGTCTTTTTTACATCATGGCGACCAAAACTGAATGCAGTATTCCAAGTGTGGCCTTACCAAGTTATTATAAAGTGGCATTAACACTTCACGTGATCTTGATTCTATCCCTCTGTTTATGCAGCCTAGAACTATGTTGGCTTTTTTGACAGCTGCAGCACACTGTTTGGCAGCTGCAGCACACTGAACTGTTGTTAGTCAAGAACTACCTAGATTCCATATGTTTTTGAAAGTAGCACGAACATGCTTGGACAGCAGTTCAGGAAACCTCAAAGCAGAAATGTTCAGTAAGAGCGAAGTATTAAATTAGGGCTTGTTCATTTTGGGGGGGTGGGGGGATATTGCTGGATATGCATATGTGCCTGCATAATTAATACACTCTTTTGCTTAGACCTGCCTGTAGGATTGCTGAAAATGTTGGTTACATTTGCTGCAAATACGTTAACTTTCTTTTAGAAATGCATCTATTGTCTTTTTTTCAACTAGTCATAGAATAAAGGAATAGAAGGAATATTTATTTATTATCCTGCCTTTATTATTTTTATAAATAACTCAAGGTGATGAACATATCCAACATACTTTCCTCTTATTTTCCCTACAACAAACCTGTGAAGTGATTTGGGGCTGAGACAGAATAACTGACTCAAAGTCATCCAGCTGGCTTCCATGGTAAGACAGGACTTGTATTTATGTTTGCTTACTAGCTTGGTGCCTTAACCACTACACCAAATTAGCTCTCTTAGGTCTCTCTGAGAGATCATCTAGTCCAATCTCTTGTCCAGTACACAGATAGTACATGTTTTCGAGAATGCCAAGACTACAGCTCCCAGAATTCCGTCAGCGTGATTGGGAATCCTGGGAATTGCAGTCCGAATATATCTGACAAGTACCAATGTGGAGAAGGCTCTCCAAGGGTTTCATTTTCATCTCATCTTCTCCATAATTGGCTGTTGTCATTGCCCATCCAAAAGGGGATTTTTACTTTCACCCTTCCTCCAATCCCAAAACTGCCATTAACCTTCTCCATGACCATAACTAGATGTGAATTGCTTTAGATTTTTTTTTCTTTTAAAGTCATCTTACCCATGTGGTATAAATAGCATGAAGTACAGCGAACTCATGGTGTATGGTAACTCTTCAATGTGGTTGGCAGCCAGCCAGAGCCTTCGGTATTTATCATCCTCTATATATAAAACTGATTTTGCACAGCATTTTAAAGAACATTTAACATGTTCCTTTATAGTGGTTGGCAGTCCAGCCAAAATCCTGCTCTTCTTCACATACAAATACTTCAGAAATGCTGCTCCATGTACTCTGATCTTGACCGCTCCTTTAACAGACAACTGTTCTGAGAACTGGTGTTTTTGGCCAGAAGCCACAGACCTCGATGAATATTCCTCTTCAGCCATGATTGTCCAGGGCAAGCATGTTCATGATATAAAAATATTGCGCAATATACTAAAAGTAACATTAAAAAAAACACTTTGCAAATAGGATAGAATAGAATGTTCAGAACTGTGAAAGTAATCTAACTGTAACATGCTTAATCCGGTTTTGGCCCGTTTGAATCACCTGGGTTTATGTGTCTTGAAAATGTTGACCTGTGTTGTCAACCTGATCCTTAATGCAATAATGCAATCCAACAGCAAATAGCTTTGCTTTACAAGAATAATTTTCTGAAAATGTTTTTATAAGCATCACAATTACTTTGAGGTTGCTTGAGGAGATAAAAAAAAAAGAGTACATGTTATCTACTGAAATCCAACCAACACATTGTCACTTTGGGTTGCATCCTAAAAAAAAAAATGTGTATGGTTTCCCCGTAAATTAAGGCAAGAGAAGATGAGAATCCAGGGTCGAACTCAGAGCAGAGATGTAAAAGCAAACCTTTGGGATCATCACAGTAGCTTTAAAAGAATATATAGTGTTTTAGGGGATTTTTACCACTTGGTGTGGTTTTTCAAGGTGGAAAAACGGTGTAAATTCTGCATTTGTCTAAGGCACTAAGTGGACCATTTAAAATTTCCGAAGAACTTCTCAAAAGAGACTTTTTGGTCA